TAAGCGTTTAATTCAAATAATTTAACATTGACATATTTTTACAGTGTAGAATCTCAACGAACGTCAAATACCACAAAAGTTTCATCTATTCATCAATGTGGAGGTGGGGGAAATCATTGCAAAAAGGTATATACGATAGATATTTTCGTAGATGCTTTGCTTTGGATGAAAAAATTTGACCCGGGTTGTAGCGAGTCATGGACCGAATTAGCATTTGTAATTTTCACCAAGAACTTGACCAAGTTTGAAAGAAATAGAAAAATTCGTGAAATTAAAAGATTTTATTACAATAACAAATCTGACATATTGCGCATGAAAAAACAAAGATTGTGCAACCCACTTCCACTAAAATACGACCAATCGTTTTCTGCTAATTTAACCTCAAACTTTACTTCACCAGTATCGGAAAAAAACAATTGTAGCCAAAGTTGTGAAAATGTAGAACAACCTAAGCTCAGAGGTCAGTACTTCACCGATTCGAATAATGCTCCGAATCCGAAAAAAATTGTAACTAAATACGACTACAAATATTTCCACAATACATGTCCGAAGTACAAGTATAGATCAAAGTATAAATACAAATATTGTAACCGAGCGATTTCCACTAATGTTCCACGCTCAGAAAATAAAGTCGATTCTCGCGTTCCAAACACATCTTTCGCAGAAGTTACAAAATCGCCGTCCGTGACAAAAAGTAGTAACGGTTCGAAATTAGATGCGGCTGTAGTAACTGACTTTCATGGTATACCTTTTCGACGTGATATTGACCTTTCTAGAAGTTCCACCGAAAACAAAAGCCCTCATTCAATCGAGTCGCCACATATCTCTGATGATGAGCAACAAAAATCCCCCGAACTCAACATTTCTTCTGAATTTCATGCATCAGATTTGTCCAATGGCTCGGTACAAAGTAGTAATTTGACTAAAACTGTTTTTCCGAAACCAAATCTTCACTCCACTCCACATTCACAGAATAAACTGTATAAATCTCGTATTGAGGCCACTTTAGCTGCCAACAAAGAAATTCCAGATGGAAGTACACCTGATAAACCATTATCAATAGTAGAGGACTCCGATAGTTCTAATTCTGAGCAGAATGATTTTGAGCCACCTGCAAAAAACACAATAGGAAGCAAAATTGACAAGTGCTGGAAGCCTCTCGATCAGCTTGCATCAAACGCGGAATTTATGGTCTTGGAGGACGATTGGAATGTTATATCGCGATCGGTAAAAAAACGCACAATCACCTACAAAGATTGGGGCGATAAAATTAGGGAAGGTTTGAAACTTAGCAACCCGTATTGTTCTTTTGCATTTCGACGCCATACGTTCAATAATAAGAGGGGCTCGCGCATATTTCATTGTGTCGGTTATTGTCGTTTTCCCAGATGCAAATGTAAGTTCACGATCGAGTCATTTCGGGAAAACTGTAGAAAAATGCATGTTTCTTACAACGGCGATGTAAAACACAAAACCGTAATTTCTGCCCATTTAAAAGGAGAACGTCGCCGAAAAATGCAAGAAATATTGATAAATACGAAGCCCCGCGAAAATTACTTGGACAACCTGAACAAAATTTCTGATACCGTTTATCGCTCAGGAAACAGAGACAACGCACCATCGGTTAGTGTTTTAAAAAAGGCAAGATTCGAATGTAGGAAGATTCCTCAGTTAGGGCCAAATCAGTGGGAATCTCTGCAACTGCTACGCGAACGGCAACTAAAAAATGAATCGGATCATAAAAAGAAAATTAAAGGAACTTTGCAACAAATATCGCGCCTTCCGCCGAGTATTATGCTCTGGTCTCAAGACACAATTGATATTTTACAAGAAGTTGGAAATGATGACATCATTTATATTGATGCTACTGGAAGCGTATTGAAGTCTTTCGTAGATAAAAAACCTTTTTATATTTACGAAATTGTTATACGCCATCCTGTACAAGGTAACCCACCCTTAGCTGTTGCGTCTTTTGTCACCAACGAACATCATTCCGCATCGATCAGCAATTTTATCGCGCGATTTCGCAGGGACCAGAGTCGTTGTTACAGCTCGCCGTCGGGTCGTTTAATTATTTGCGACGGAAGTGTCGCCTTGATTAATTCAGTCCTCAATGCGTTCATGGGTGAAAGCTCGGGGGACTATATCAACCGATGCTATGCTGTGATTTCAGGTTCAGCTTCCGCGGAAATGTTTAGAAAACCCTTTCTGAGACTTTGCGCTAGTCATATTATGAAAAATTTTAGTAGAGTCTGTTCAACGCTAAATTGGAAAAAACAGGCAATGTACGTTTTAGGATTGATAGCTTCGTCAGAAAGTTACACCGAAATCAAGAACTTGATATACCATTTTTGCATTATTTTAATGTCCAAGTATTTCAATTTAGCAGACAGTAGTTGGCAATACTTAAAACTGAAAATGAATCGCGATGAGCTCTCAGAAGATTTCCCTACTCACGGCGAATCCGATGATTTTGAAACGAATGAATGGTTCCAAAACTCTAATCCCTTCGATAAAGATCTTTCTGAAATCATGAAAAAAATTGGTACCGCTATTAAAACTACCCCTTCCGGCAATCAAAATCCGTGTTATAATCCGAAAATGCTTCTATCGCTCCGTAAGTACTATTTTCCCAAGATTGCCCTGTGGAGTGGACTCATGACTGGGAATTTGGGTCGACACGGGAAAACATCGCCATACGAAAGACAGTCCAAACTGTATCGCTCACTTGAAAACTCGACTGCCCAAAATTTGACTAAACGTAATAGGACTCAAGGCATCATGGAAAAAAGCCAGCAAGAATTGAAACGAACGCGCCTTCGTAACCGCAAATACACCCGCCTAGACGAAATTGCTACAGTATATGAACATTTACATCCGGCATTGATTCGCGAATATAACGACAACAGAGTTGTGAAAAAATACAAAAAGCGTAAACCACAAAAGTCGCCCAATGAAGCTATCGAAAAATGGTCAAAAAAACCCAAACACGAGACGGGACTTGATCGGTCTATTGGCAAATATCTGCAAGCACCCAAAAAAGTTATGAAAGACATTTCTGAATTGCGCGTAAAAAAGTCACCAGACAATGAGATCTTTCCGAATTTTGTGGATGTTTCCATAAAAACAGAGGGCATAGAAGCCATAGATGAACAATCTACGCTAACGAAAAAATTACTAAAAACCCGCAATGTCACGTCTCCGGGAGTAAAATGCGTAAAAAAACACTATCCAGCTCCATTAGTTTCTCGCTTAAATGCAATCAAATGTAACTTTCAATCATATGTTGTGTATAATAAAGAAACGCGCAAAAATTTGATAAATCCCAGAAAACTAATTGACAACGATCACATCGACAAATCATTCTTAATTTTAGCATCCCAATTTCCTGACATGGATGGACTTCAAAGTACTACAGCTTATGCCGAGTGTGCCGGACCGGCTTATACACCTCGACAATCATTTGTCCAGATCCTCCATGTCCACACACGCAGTAAAATGACTTGGCATTGGGTCGCTGTCTCTAATATATTTTGCGACGAGCCGGATGCAGTCTATGTTTATGACAGTTTACTCTCTGAAAACGCCTATGATTCAATCGATAAATACAACATTTCAAAATTACTTCGACCAAATGGCAGTAAAATCTGTGTGAGATTTCCGGAAGTTCAGTCCCAAACATCTGGCCCACATTGTGGCGCATTCGCGTTAGCTTTTTGCATAGCTCTCTGCTTTGGAGATAACCCGGATACAATACGTGTGTGCGAACAAAGCCTCCGCAGCGACATCGCGACAATGATCGACGACAATAAATTTTTCAAGTTTTATAATAAGGTTCACGCAAAACCGTTTTCGCCAGTGACTTTTAATATCACTATCTTTTGTCATTGTAAACTCGCGTATTTAAACGATAAACTCATGGTTCAGTGCACGTCTTGCCATGGTTGGTACCATGAAGAATGCGTTCCAGTGGGTATTCCAAGTGAAGCAATATCAAATTTAGACAAGTCTTGGCGCTGCGATATATGTCCTTTGAAGGGGAAGATTTGTGGATGAAATTTTTTGCTCTAGACTGGAGTCTAGGCTAATTCACCCTTTCTCAAAACATTTATCGACAGATCCTGCCATCCCTAATAAAATAAAATGAGAGTTGATTTTGACAAATGATTAAGCTTCATTAGCATTAGTCATCGTTTATATCGTGTCAAATTATATCCTCCTTATTGTAATTTGAACCAGGGATAGAGGTTCGGAGAAAATTTACAATCAATTTCGACTCCGGGCTCTGAGTTGAAAAATTTTGGACTCCAGCTACAGTTTGCGACGACTTCTTATGAACGGAATTTCTGACTTCAGGCTGTGAACTGAACAAAATGCTTTGAATTTCGACTAGGTCTTTTGGTAGTAAAAAACCAAATTTTACTACGATCATTACCATGGAAAGTTTGAAATTCCGACTCCCAACTCATTTAAAAATTATCCGATAAAAATCATCAAATAACCCAAACTTGGACACCGTATCCCTAATATAAACAATATTCTATTTTAATCTCACTAAAATATGTAATTAATTTAACAGTTTACAGTGTCGTAACGAATAAGTTGCTTGTTTTTAGATTCAAGGTTTCCAGAAATGCAAAGTCATTGTTTTTGCTATGATAAGAATAAAAGTAGGATTAGGCCATAATTTTATTCCAACTTTCCTTATTTAGTTCTATTTCAAGTTCGGAGTCTAGCCAAGTGACTCCCGTAGTATTTGTACCTGAAATTATGGCCTAACCCAAACCTGGTACACATACTACGTTCCGATGTCCGCCATCTTGGTTCACACACCTCTGTAGTACCGTTTTTTTGACACCCCGTGGTAAATTGGTACTTTGTCGGGCCTCCAACTAGGTCATTTTATCTACCGAATGTAGAAGTTATTTTAGACCAAGAATTTTGTGATGCAAATATTTACATGCATGAAGAAAAAATGTACAGGTAATAGTGGTAAGTTGATATTCTGAAATTTTTCTGTTCGAGCTGAAAAAGAATCTCAGTAGAATCACTGTTGTAATACAGCAAGGTAAGTAATTTTAAAAAATCATTTTCAAGTATTTCGAAAATCGTTTTTAATTCGTTTTTCATTTTTCTAGTTCCCGCGGATACAGGAAGTCGTGACAAAACAAATTATTGAATGAAAATCATTAGATGAATTATCTATGAAAGCAGCATCCGTTTAGCAAACATGTAAGTGTCTTCTTAAGCGAAACCTTTTTGGAGAGAATTCTAGTAAACGTGTGTATACATGATTTCAATGCAATCGATGTAGATCAATACAATTTCTATATTTCCCAGGGCTTCTTCATATAGTCTTGTAAATTTCATTAGCGATTTCAAAAAATTATTTCCGACCATTTCGATTTTTTTTGTAAATCGTCATAAATATATACAACTTATAAATATATTGGCATCATTGTAGTTCTCATGAATACAGAGTCGTGACGAATGCAATCGATGTAGATCAATACAATTTCTATATTTCCCAGGGCTTCTTCATATAGTCTTGTAAATTTCATTAGCGATTTCAAAAAATTATTTCCGACCATTTCGATTTTTTTTTGTAAATCGTCATAAATATATACAACTTATAAATATATTGGCATCATTGTAGTTCTCATGGATACAGAGTCGTGACGAAATGGATGAGGAATATCAGAAGGATCACTTTCTATGAAAAGCATCATCTGTTTTGCAGGTATGGAATGTACGCCACTGTGTATACTTGTTTCCAATACAAATATTACAAATGAATACAATTTATATCTTTCCAGGCCTTTATAAAGTCTTGTATTTTTCATTAGCAAATGTGTTCAAAACAAAAGACCTAGTTAATTTTTTACTTTTGTCATATAACTCGAATTAACCATGCATTGTTCAGTAACAAGCTTACTGGACGCCTATGAAATTGTCATCTTAAGTTTAACAACATTTTTACTTGAATATTTGACTCGATTATATAATTTCGTTGCAGGTCGATTTTGTACAGAACGTGAAGACTGGCATTAATCTGCAGCACCCGAAGTTTATTTAAATATTATTCTACCAGTTTGCAGTCTCGCAGTTCGGGAGAGAGGAAAACTATCAAAAATTTCTTTGAATTCGATTGTTATGAGCTTTGATATGTCAAATTTTTGTTGGTGAGAAAAAGGAGAGATACGGTAAGAGGGAGCTGGGTGATGTCAGAGCTCAAAATTTTGGATTCAGGATATATTTAATAGCAATGCTTACATTTTGTGTATTTCGCAAAGTATTTTGCAGTAACGAAATGAATTGTTTGTCAGGTCTCATATCCAACCAGGACGTTTAATCGGACCAGCAGTTCAGGTGTTGTCACATTTTTTTTTTATTTCGTTAGTTAATAAGGGATCCCATGATTAAATTAAAATGATGATCTTGATCAATGTGTTAAAATTTGTATTGACCATCAATGACAATTTTTAATTAGTATTTTTATATCATTAATGATTCCAATATTTTGCTGCTTTGACATCTGCGCCGTATATACAACAACATTTGACATATCAGACGTAATTTCTTTTACTTTGTTTTAACGTTTTCTATTCATTTCATTCTGTGTAATAAAAATGGCTCATTTATGTATCGAATCTCAGTATGAAAGATGAAGGAAAGTCGTAGTCGGGATTGGACGTAGTGTTAGATTGGGAGTAGTGCACCCAGACCATTTGTAACAAATATGTACCCCATCCAGTGGAGCTTTATCGCTTTGTTAAAGTAACTGCAATCGTTTCTATTAGTGCAGTTTTGAGCTCTATATCGATTTTTCAATGAGCTCTATATCGATTTTTAATTAATGAATGCATTCTGCGTTATGATATGCAAATGGTTATTTTGTTTTACTACGCCCTATCAACGTTAGGCATGATTTTCTGCTTCTACAATAATCATTAAACCCAAATATTGAAAGGGAAATGTGTTCCGTATAAATCATATTAGACCGACCAAATATATATTTTAAAGCCACTTTGCATATTAACTCCCCTAAGAGGTCGAGTTTATTTTATAATTTTCTGAAAGGTATTTTTATACTCTATCCAACTATAATAAACTTATGCGTGGCAAGTCTTGAGAAAATAGTAATAACTAATACTGAATATCGACCGAAATAAAATTATTTCACACGCAGAAGAGGATAATTTCATAGTTAATTTGCATATTAATTTCCCAAAGAGGTCAAGAATATTCTATTATTTTCTGAAAAGTATTTTTATATTCTATCCAACTATGATAAACTTATGCGTGGCAAGTCTTGAGAAAGTAGTAATAACTAATACTGAATATCGACCGAAATAAAATTATTTCAGACGTAGAAAAGGATTATTTCAAAGCTAATTTGCATATTAACTCCCCAAAGAGGTTAAGTTTATTTTATCATTTTCTGAAAAGTATTTTTATACTCTATCCAACTATAATAAACTTATGCGTGGCAAATCTTGAGAAAGTAGTAATAACTAATACTGAATATCGACCGAAAATAAATTATTTCACACGTAGCATAGAATTATTTCATAGCTAATTTGCATATTAACTCCCCAAAGAGGTCAAGTTTATTTTATTATTTTCTGAAAGGTATTTTTATGCTCTATCCAACTATGATAAACTTATGCGTGGCAAATCTTGAGAAAGTGGTAATTACTAATACTGAATAATGATCAAAACATCAGTTTATACCTAGCATAGGATTATTTCAAAGCTAATTTGCATATTAACTCCCCACCGAGGTCAAGTTTATTTTATCATTTTCTGAAAGGTATTTTCATACTCTATCCAACTACGATAAACTTATGCGTGGCAAGTCTTGAGAAAGTAGTAATAACTAATACTGAATATCGACCGAAATAAAATTATTTCAGACGTAGAAAAGGATTATTTCAAAGCTAATTTGCATATTAACTCCCCAAAGAGGTTAAGTTTATTTTATCATTTTCTGAAAAGTATTTTTATACTCTATCCAACTATAATAAACTTATGCGTGGCAAGTCTTGAGAAAGTAGTAATAACTAATACTGAATATCGACCGAAATAAAATTATTTCAGACGTAGAAAAGGATTATTTCAAAGCTAATTTGCATATTAACTTCCCAAAGAGGTTAAGTTTATTTTATCATTTTCTGAAAAGTATTTTTATACTCTATCCAACTATAATAAACTTATGCGTGGCAAATCTTGAGAAAGTAGTAATAACTAATACTGAATATCGACCGAAAATAAATTATTTCACACGTAGCATAGAATTATTTCATAGCTAATTTGCATATTAACTCCCCAAAGAGGTCAAGTTTATTTTATTATTTTCTGAAAGGTATTTTTATGCTCTATCCAACTATGATAAACTTATGCGTGGCAAATCTTGAGAAAGTGGTAATTACTAATACTGAATAATGATCAAAACATCAGTTTATACCTAGGATAGGATTATTTCAAAGCTAATTTGCATATTAACTCCCCACCGAGGTCAAGTTTATTTTATCATTTTCTGAAAGGTATTTTCATACTCTATCCAACTACGATAAACTTATGCGTGGCAAGTCTTGAAAAAGTAGTAATAACTCATACTGAATATCGACCGAAAATAATTTATTCCACACGTAGAAGAGGATAATTTCATAGCTAATTTGCACATTAACTCCCCAAAGAGGCTAAGTTTATTTTATCATTTTCTGAAAAATAATTTTATACTCTATCCAACTACAATAAACTTATGCGTGGTAAGTCTTGAGAAAGTAGTAATAACTAATACTGCATATCGACCGAAATAAAATTATTTCAGACGCAGAAGAGGATTATTTCAAAGCTAATTTGCATAAAAATTCCCCAAAGAGGTCAAGTTTATTTTATCATTTTTTGAACGGTATTTTTATACTCTATCCAACTATAATAAACTTATGCGTGGCAAATCTTGAGAAAGTTGTAATAACTAATACTGAATAATGATCAAAAAATCAGTTTATACGTAGCATAGGATTATTTCATAGCTAATTTGCATATTAACTCCCCAAAGAGGTCAAGTTTGTTTTATCATTTTCTGAAAATTACTTTTATACTCTATCCAACTATAATAAACTTATAAGTGGCAAGTCTTGAGAAAGTAGTAATAACTAATACTGAATATCGACCGAAAATCATTCATTTCACACCTAGAAGAGGGTAATTTCATAGCTAATTTGTATATTAACTCCCCAAAATTGGTTACGTTTATTTTATCATTTTCTGAAAGGTATTTTTATACTCTATCCAACTATAATAAACTTATGCGTGGCAAGTCTTGAGAAAGTAGTAATAACTAATACTGAATATCGACCGAAATAAAATTATTTCAGACGTAGAAAAGGATTATTTCAAAGCTAATTTGCATATTAACTCCCCAAAGAGGTTAAGTTTATTTTATCATTTTCTGAAAAGTATTTTTATACTCTATCCAACTATAATAAACTTATGCGTGGCAAATCTTGAGAAAGTAGTAATAACTAATACTGAATATCGACCGAAAATAAATTATTTCACACGTAGCATAGAATTATTTCATAGCTAATTTGCATATTAACTCCCCAAAGAGGTCAAGTTTATTTTATTATTTTCTGAAAGGTATTTTTATGCTCTATCTAACTATGATAAACTTATGGTATAGGTATTTTTATACTCTATCCAACTATAATGAACTTATGCGTGGCAAATCTTGAGAAAGTTGTAATAACTAATACTGAATAATGATCAAAAAATCAGTTTATACGTAGCATAGGATTATTTCATAGCTAATTTGCATATTAACTCCCCAAAGAGGTCAAGTTTGTTTTATCATTTTCTGAAAGTTACTTTTATACTCTATCCAACTATAATAAACTTATACGTGGCAAGTCTTGAGAAAGTAGTAATAACTAATACTGAATATCGACCGAAAATCATTCATTTCACACCTAGAAGAGGGTAATTTCATAGCTAATTTGTATATTAACTCCCCAAAGAATTTACGTTTATTTTATCATTTTCTGAAAGGTATTTTTATACTCTATCCAACTATAATAAACTTATGCGTGGCAAGTCTTGAGAAAGTAGTAATAACTAATACTGAATATCGACCGAAATAAAATTATTTCAGACGTAGAAGAGGAATATTTCAAAGCTAATTTGCATATTAACTCCCCAAAGAGGTCAAGTTTATTTCATTATATCCTGAAAGGCATTTTTATGCTCTATCCAACTATGATAAACTTATGCGTGGCAAGTCTTGAGAAAGTAGTATAACTAATACTGAATATCGACCGAAATAAAATTATTGCAGACGCAGAAGAGGATTATTTCAAAGCTAATTTGCATATTAACTCCTCAAAGAGGTCAAGTTTATTTGATCATTTTCTAAAAGGTATTTTTATACTCTACCCAACTGTTATATACCCATGCGTGGCAATTGCTCTAAAATATCTATTTATATTATTGAATATTGACCGAAAATAAATTATTTCAGAAGTAGAAAAGGATTACTTCAACAATTCCACAATCCCTTATTATTACCTTTGTGTTGAATACGAATTCAAGGTTGCACTCGTTGTGTAATTTATTTATTCACTTAATTGCAATGTACAATTTTAAATATAGGTAATATTGTCAATTTCCATCGAAAATCCAAGTTCTTGCCCGTAGTTATTTACTGACATCTAGTGTTTACGGATAATATGTAGGACTTCTGTTGCTGCAAAAAGTTACTCTAGCCCACAATTTCAGTTTCCAGTTCTCTAGGCTCTAGTTCAGTTCAAATATTTCTGTAACGCGAAGTATCGTTCAAAACTTTGCTTCAGATTAACTAGAAAAAGGTAAGAAGTTATCAGGGATATAATTAATACATGTGGACACAGTGGCATTTTTGTTGTAGAGCAAGGTTACTCCAGCCCACAATTCCGGTTACCCCAGCCCACAATTTCGGTTACGCTAGCCCACAATTCTGATTACGCCAGCCGACATTGCAGTTTAGCGGTCGGCACATTTGATTGTGGGTACTAGTTTTAATGTAAAAGAACACGTTATTAGTCCCATAAATAAATTCAGTAGGTTTGCCTCGCTTAAAGTCATTTAATCGCTGTAATATATGCATGATTAACCCTCTGATCTCCAAGTAATTGTGGGCTGGGAAATTGTGGGCTAGAGTAACTTTGGTGGCCTAGTGGACATACCGGTACCCATTTTAGTAGGAACATAGTGGACATCGCCATTTTAGTAGGGATATCGCCATTTTAGTAGGGACATAGCCATTCTGCCATTTTAGTAGGGACATAGCGGACATAGCCATTTTAGTAGGGACATAGTTGACATCGCCATTTTAGTAGGAACATATTGTGATTTTAGAAGAGACATAGCCATTTTAGTAGGGACATAGCCATTTTAGTAGGGACATATCCATTTTAGTAGGGACATATCCATTTTAGTAGGGACATAGCCATTTTAGTAGGAAAATATCGGATTCGCGATTTTAGATGGGACATGGCCATTTTAGGAGGGATATACCGGACATAGCCATTTTAGTAGGGATATCGCCATTTTAGTAGGGACATAGCCATTTTAGTAGGGACATAGTGGACATCGCCATTTCATTAGGGACATAGCCATTTTAGTAGGGTTATCGCCATTTTAGTAGGGACTAGGGACATAGCCATTTTAGTAGGGACATAGTCATTTTAGTAGGAAAATATCGGAATTCGCAATTTTAGATGGGACATAGCCATTTTAGTAGGGACGTAGCCATTTTATTAGGAACATAGCGGGCATACCCATTTTAGTAGGGATATCGCCATTTTAGTAGGGACATAGCGGACATAGTCATTTTAGTAGGAAATATCGGAGTCGCAATTTTAAATGGGACATAGCCATTTTAGTAGGGACATAGCTATTTTAGTAGGGACATATGGGACATAGTCATTTTATAACTACCCGCTGAGGCTGAGGAGTTGAAGTGGCTGTCTGCTGATGGGTGATTGATATCCTTCAGAGTTTCCTGTTGGTGCTTTCAATGAAAATAGTCTCTAGTAGCCCATCTTGGTCATAAATTCCCCTTAAAAAAATAAACTCAGAAACAGTAATATGTTCAAAACAGAGAGTTTGGCTAATATGATGATAACAAATGCTGCCTAAGTTTGGAACGAAATTCTGAGTTTGATTTTTTTTATGCCATTAGGTAGGGAATTCCAAGCGCTTGGTCCACATCAGTGCTCTTTAACAGAGATTTTGCGGAGCCTTAGGGTTTCGCAATACATGCAGTAGGGTTCATTTCTTGCTTCAGCATGTTGCGTCGTTGCGAAGTTGTTTAAAGAGTGTAGACGTGAGCATGAGAGTTGCATTGAGCGCCGTGGAGCCACGATTCAAGAAGATTGCATAAGAAAAGCAAGAGCAACGTAGTCTTTGAATTTCACGCTTGTTACCTTCTTTCTGTTTCGTTGTTGAAGTACTGAAGTAGAAATATTTGAATTACAAATATTTCGTGTTACGAGTATTTCGTGTTTGTTTTTTTAATTTTGTTAATCGGCGTTCCATAAAAAATGAAAAATTATATCAGGGGTTCCACAATAACAAAAAGGTTGAAGAGCACTGGTCCACATACTGCAATGGATTCCTGTGAGATACTTTTATGGAATAAAAATTTTCCCTTTATTTCTGCTGTTTGAATTTGGGTTTGTTCGGAACAATCTGTTCAGGCTGGATGGGAGTTGCCCATTGTAGCATGAGAATATCATGCTTCCTAGTTCAAATTTAGCTAAATCCTCAACTCGTAGTAGCTTATACTCTTTAAATAAGTCATCAACATTTTCTCTATTTCCTCTATGGAAAACTTTTCTAATAAAACGGTTGAGTACACTTTGAATTTTTTTGTATAATGGAGGTTTGGCGATGAACATAACTTGGAGCGCAATAAAGTATATAATGCGAGTCGTAATTTAGCATCAGTATTTACGGATCACTTGAATTTTGAAGAATCAAGTCCAAAAATTTTTTGTTAGTATTGCTGCTGAATTTCACTGCCATAAGGAACCATGTTAGTATTAAAAAACGTCCAATACTCAGGGCAGTATTACCGATGGTACCGTACATTTTCAATTTCAGAATTTTTCTTTTATAAAATTTTCATCCAGCAATGTAGTGTAAAAACTCATAATAGAATAGGATATGCTGATATTGTATTCTGAGGTTGATTTAATTATTCTAGTATAGTGAATTATTCTGCGTTTCCCATCCCTATTCCAGGCACAAAGGACTGAATTTTTCCGCGGCCCAAGTGTTATTGAAAGATGGCACCCTACAACTGGTTCCAGCCAAATATTGACATCAATGTTGCATTTAAATTTGCCTCTTTGACACTATCACAGCATCATTGGATTGTAAACGTCCTTACCAATGACAGTACAATGAGTGAACGATGTATGGTTGTATGTGTACATACAGTTATGGGATAATGGGGCCTGTTCGTGAAATCGACTTGAACTATAGTTAAAAATTCAGAAAATAAATCCAATTTAAAATAGGGTTTGTATTAATTTCTTACATAAAATACAAGGAACATCTTTCTGGTATAATGAAATCACTAAAAAATAGCACCAAACTCTTTTATACTGAGAATTTTATTTGTATCACAAAAACTCAATTCTTCCCATTTTCGCAAAGACCAAAATTTAAATAGAATCATGTTGATTTTCTCAATGTATATTACATGTGAAAAGCTAACTGGAAATCTGGCTAAAAAGCTGGGAACAAAAAAGTTCTTCTTTTACACAATATTATTTTATACCGTTTGCAAGTCACAGCTGGTTTTTGTATTTAGAAAATCAAAATACAAAATAAGCACTTGAGGTTTGACTGTAAACTACATATTGAAATATTTTGATATATGGTATATATAATATTTATAGTTATTACATGTGGGCTAAAGTGAATCTATGTTTCCCAATAGTATTGGCCCTCGTTTGGCTTTTTATCCCACTCTTCTCTATAATGTAATTCTTGAAAAAATTACCTCAAGACGATGGTTTGATCGTATCGACGAAACTGTTTTGGTTGGAGCATTGCCTTTCAAGTCGATGAGTCGTGAACTTGTTAAGAAAGAAATGTTAGAGGTGTCATATCTCTTAATGAAGAATATGAACTCAAAAGATGGTTTGTCACGGCTAAAGAGTGGAAAGAACTTGCTGTAGATGTATTATATTTACCAACTATTGACTTAATTGCTGCACCGTCTCAAAATAACCTGACTAAAGGAGTGGAATTTATCCATAAACATGCTCAAAGAAATGAGAGTGTGTATGTTCATTGTAAAGCCGGTAGGACTAGGAGTGCTACATTAGCAGCATGTTATCTAATGACAAAGTATCGTTGGAATCCTCAGAAAGCTATCGCTCTTCTGACATTGAAACGCTCTCATATATGGCTCCGCAATGAACAACTTGATGCAATAAATTGTTACCACAATGCAAATATTCTTCAAAGCACAGATCTTTGACTGGCTGAAATATTATAAGTGACATAATATGTTTAACTTGTATATCATTGTATAAATTCTCATTTTGACAGTCTTTTCATGAAAATATTTGCACATGGACAAGGTCGTAATTCGACTCGTAAATATAGCTTACTGGAAAAATAAAACAAAAATGATTTCTGAAGCAGTGACTAATGCTTCTAATAAATAATAGCCCAAATTGCTATGAGATGTTATGTGTTTGTTATGTACCATGTGTTTGAATGGAGTATTCCAACGATGACCTAGTTTTTGTTTGATCTAAGTGAATTGTTTTAATCACAGGGTGATCTTTTGCTAGAAATTTAAGATTTCTCACTAATAAAGTTCCAGTTAATCACAATCAAAGTAATGGGTGATGAAAGAGGCTGCATAGTGGTAAGGAGTTTCTTGTCAAATATAGGAATGGAATTTGAATTTTTCTTAATTAAGTATAATCATATTTCAGGTTATTTTAATTTTATTTGGTATCTAATTTCTCTGCAGGTGGAGGACGACTTTCCAGGATATTTACCCAAGTACTTCAATATTCCACGTCACTACGAATCTGATGTAGAATATGTTCTTTTGCCAAGAGGACTTGTAATTGACAGGTCGATTATATTTCTAGAAAATTGTCCATGAAATACAGATGGTATAAGTCGGTAATTGTTAGATTCAGCTATTCCTCCATATTGTGCACACATAAGTCATATCTTCTTGAAAAATGGTAGCTGGTGATCTATTTTTTATACAATCTTTTATACTTCTTCACTTTAAACAAGGTTCTGTAGAACAAGCCACTGCTAGCTAAGGAACTAATTACTACTACCTAATTAATAATACTATTTTTTTGTAAAGACTGGAATCTGCTGGTTCGGCATTGCTTACCCAATTTATGTCCAACGCTTCAACCACTAGGCAGATCTCACGTCAACTGATGTCTTTCTAAGTTTCAGGTCTATACCAGTTCATGGTTATTTTCCTGTTCTAACCTTGCAGCATTCTGAACTCCTGGTAAAACTGGAAATTATCATGGCTTTCACAGAACTGAACGAATGGCAAAGGATATTTTTTATGAAATGGATTTTTCAAAACCATTGTTGGCAATGTGTGTCTTAAAAGGCGGATACATTTTTTTCAATGACCTTTTGCATCAATTACGACAATTGAGTGCTCAGTCAAACAATTCTTGTCAGATGGGAATAGACTTTATTAGGCTTAAAAGTTATCAGGTAATTTGATGCTTTTCTTGTCCTGAAATAGTAGCTTCTTCTAATGGCTATATCATGTTACATAACAAAACAGCACCTAAAGTAAGCATTATACATTCAAAAAACTTAGGAATGCATGTGGGTACTAAAATGATTATTCATACGCAAGGAATTTTGAGAGCAATGTGTTATTTTCTTTGTATCTATTTACTCTTGATAATTGTCAGTGTTGATTCAGAAGCAAATTTAAAAACTGTTTTGGCTAATGCCTAAAACAATGTTTTAATTTTTTTTAAAGAATTTAGCCATCTACCTTTTGGTGCCATTACATTTTTAAATTCGTATGTTTGGTTGGGACATATTCTCTGGCTAACATATAAGATTTCGGGTATCTAGAATGACCAATCAAGTGGTGAAGTTAAAGTTATTGGTGGAGATGACCTGAAAAAAGTGGAGGGAAAGAATTTACTTATTGTTGAGGTAAAAACATTGTTAACTTTTCACATTTCTATTACCCGGGTTTAAACTATGATGACCATAAAATCACTTTTTGTCTCAGAGTTGTCTAATTTACAGGATATTATTGACACTGGTAGAACAATGGAAAAACTTTGGAAATGTTGAAGCCACATAAACCAAATTCTATTAAAGTTGCGAGCATGTTGATAAAGAGGACGGAAAGAAGTTCAGGATACAGGCCTGATCGTAAGTTTTCAGGCATTCTTAGAATAGAAAATACAGAACCTATACTTCAAATAAAACGTGTTTAACAGGAGATGTGTTTGTTACAAATACAATGTACAAAACAGTGTTTCTAAAAATCTATGATTTTCAAACATTGTGTTTGTTGAATTTCTCTCAGCTTGGGCCGCTATTCGCTTGAGAAACTCAATGTATTAAATAGCATGAAAAAAAATCTTTTTATAAATAGCAAAGTAATTTTCATTTATAAATATGCATTGAATATATTGATAGGGAAAATATTCAAAAAATGCCATGCGATGGAACAAGAAAATTTTGGGAAAACTTCCTAAAGCATTGTCAGTGGACAATAAAATTCAGTGAATAAGTGAGAAGCAAGTGAATTTCAGGGTGGCTGGTTCACTGCTGCCCTGAACTCTTGAGCCTGATAATATTAATTTTGTGCACACAGATATTGGGTTTGAAGTTCCTGACAAGTTTGTCATTGGGTATGGACTGGATTACAATGAATATTTCAGAGACATGGGGGTGAGTTGTTTGTTTAATGGAGCTAAGGTTTCCAAAGCATACTCTTCCTGTGGAATATTCTTCCCAAAAGCATTCTCTCAGTGTAGACTGTTATACATATACATGTAACTGAAGAAGTTAATTAAAAATAACAATACTAGTATCGTATTTCCCGGACCATAAGGCACACTTCAAGTGTGTGTGCACCTTAGAAACCGGTGCACCTAACGTATGTATCAGGTAGTACTTTATTGCCTACACTCAAAACCACCATCGATATTATTGTTTGATAAACAACTGCCTTTTTACGTTTCCCTTGAATAAAATACAATGGCCATACAACATTTGAGTGGACAAAACCCCAATCTTAGCAATATGCGCCTTATAACCTGAGGTACTTTATGATCCATAAAATACGGTAGTGTGGTATATTTCCAATTCCACAAACCACCTGACCGTCTCTCTGTGTTTTGAATTTTTTATGTTTTTGCCATTGTAATATGGTGCATTGCATCCTAGCTAACACTTTACCATTGGCCGTTTATAATCAAGTTAAGATGTAATGTCATTAGAAGTATACTTATATGCTGCAATTCCTCTCATTCAGCACATTTGTGTGATATCAGAATCTGGGAAAAAGAAGTATTCAGCTTGAAGCCATCTTCAGATCTGCTGTTTTAACTGAATTCAAAGTGAAGTAAAGCGAGAATGAAATATTCATAATATTTCATTTTACCTCTATAAATGTGCTCATTTATCATGCCATTTATTAATAAATTTGCCAATCCGCTTCCGTGTGGCCTTGTAATGTCTTTTACAACGCTGGGTGATGTACTTTACGAAGTCATAGTTGTCACATTTTATTTCAGAATGGAAAAAGATTGTGGTGTCACTAAATAAATGGGTGGTTCAGGTAACTGCCGGTCAGTTACGCCTTCCTCTACCCATCAGTTACGCACGGCGGGAAATGTCTTTTAGCCACTTTTCGCGTGTAAATGACTCTCTTATAACTGTTTTACACATTTTCCCGAGGAAAAAGTTATGTGACAATCTCCCGATACTTGATATTAGCCATATCATGTATGCCCCTCACCTAAAGTTATTATTGTAAATCAATAATTCAAGTGAGTTTTTCAGAAGTAAACGGTCAAAAAAGTCAATACAGTGGTGGCCGAAAAATGATCATTCTATAAATGGCATCAATCTGTAGCTGTTGAATTAGCAGTCATTACTTAGCTTGAGTCGCCTTTTGCTTATTAATAATGAGAAAGGTTGTCAAGCATACCTTACGATCAATCTGCGGCCACCATAAATACAATTTGAATTTCTCGGCAACGGTCGAATCATTTTGTTGGAAAATCCTTTGGTCAGAAGTCTTAGGAGAATATTTTGCATGCCTTATTTCAAAATCAGTCGGCGGTAACCATATCGCGTTGTCGATCTTCCATATTTCATAAATTAGCTAAGTATCGGATATTTGCCGAGAGAAAACGAGTGTTATAGCACTCTCTGGAATGCTGCAGACCCAGTATAAAAAATATTTGCACCCCGAAGCCACCTGCGGCTTTTCCATATATATATTACATCAATAGGAACGATGACACAAATGATTTTTCTTTTGCAAACGTACACGAAATACAACGAATAATACTCGAAAATAACCATCAATATAACAAAAATAACGAAGGATATATATGCTAGCGGTTCCCTACCTTTTTTTTTTATTGTGTCGCGAAATATCATTCCAATTTGAAAAAAAATTTCTTATGCGCCCGCATATACGACAAAATCCTGAAAATTAATTCTGAAAGAGAAGCATGATTACCAGACATCCAGTTGCGTTATAATCGTTTATGCACAAAAGCAATATCGCATGTAGCATCGGTTAGATGTGCATGAAATGTAAAACTTTTATTTTTGTATTTCAATGTTAAGAAAATTAAATTTCTTTTTCCGTCCCTCCATACTCGTATTGTTATTAGGGCTGGGCATTTTCGAATACCTGATGATTTCAGAATCGAATCGAATAATTTTCGAATCGAATCTCGAATACTTGTAAGGTATGATAATGTATGTAACTTTCTTATCATTTTAGGTCCTCCAGACACATAAATTACTGAAAACATAGAATACATCACTGACAATAAAAAAAAAAGTTTTCATCAATACCTCAATACAGAAAAGAGTCATATGTCAGAATTGTGTTGAAAAAATATGTTTTCAATGAAAAAAAAATTGAGAAATTTACCTCGGCCATTGGCAAAAGGGTAAAACAAGATGGCGGCGATTCGAAAATTTGCTCTTAACCGATTCGAATAATTTACTATTCGATTCGAAATGCCCAGCCCTAATTGTTATTAGTGATTGCGTCTTGAGTTTGTAAAATTTAGGAATCTCTTGTATATGCATATAATACTTCTTTTGAGTGGCCAAAGAAAAACAACGCGTAACCGCTTTCCGGTTTCGTGGTTAAATTCGTTTTATGAGTGTTTTAAAAAGAATCACAGTCGACAATTTACATACATTTCTTCCGCTGATTCGACAATTACGTTATTATTGAACGTTTTGGTCGACCGAAAAAAATATAATATATATCGTTCTGTGATCTATTTTTAGGCCACATTCTTCCGATTTTTCCACAATTAGCAATTCGAATTTAAAAATCTTGATGCAAAAGTGGATATACGGGTATTCGCCGAAAATCAATAACCATAGGTTACAACGACACAGCATGAAAGGCTGCACTCATTTTATAGAACCCATCAATTTTTATGCGACGAAAAATCGCATAAAAATTGATGGGTTCTATAAAATGAATGCAGCCTTTCATGCTGTGTCGTTGTAATCCTATGGTTATTGATTTTCGGCGAATACCCGTATATCCACTGTTGCATCAAGATTTTTAAAGCATGTTTTATAGAAAAACGGCAACTTTCGTCGTAATGCGTTTAGTATGTTCATTTTCATACAAACAAAAGAATTTATTTAGTTACCAGATGTGCGCTACGAGAATCATTTTCTAGAGGTTTTTCAGGGCCTCCTGGCAACGTCGCGTCGCGCCTTTTATACGCTGTGTTAAATCGTTTTCCGACAACACTCTTTACGGTTCTGAAAACGAGAAAGATGACTGCTAGATAACTTCGGTATGAAACTGTGGGCTGACAAAGTGTAGAGTGGACTAGATCAGTGGTTCCCAAAATTTTTGTACCATCGCCCCCCTCTAGTAGTTTATACAACTTTATCGCCCCCCTGCACTACAAAAAATATAAAGTCAGAAACCTATATTACAGACCAAATAATAAGACAAATCATAGTTTATAGTGTGTTTTAATGAGAAGGATGCGCTTGGTGTTTTTCAGCGAGTTTTTCATTATTTGGTGACATTTTCGTCAGACACAATTTAAAATCACTCCGTTTACTGATGGAAAGGCGATTTTGTTGTTTTGATAGCAATAGTATCACGGCTGAAAACCTCTTTTTCACCATATAAGAGGTCGAAAATGAAAGAATCTACGGTTCTACCCCCTCAAAAACCGCCGTGTGCTTGCCTTATAGCACTCTCTTAAACGTTTTTATAACATCGTTATCAGAACGGTGCATAAATGAGCTCATCAATATATTCGTCAAAAACGAGTATATGACAATTTTTTAACAAACAAAGCGCTATTTCATATTTTTTTCAAAGCCCCAAGCTGGCAATAACAACGTATCGCAACAAGCGAACTTACAAAGCGCTATTTTTTCAAAAACATGAGCGATCAGTAATTCAGTGTGACGAAGTATATTAGATTGAAAGATCAGTTTTATCTGTCGAAATCAAATTTAAAAAACAATAAATCGCCTTTTCTTTTTTAATCTCTAACTCCTACTCTCATCCTATACTTCCCTCTCATTCTTAAATCTTCTTGTCCCATATTTTTGAATTCCAATGTGTATATTTTTCAATTGTATTTTTTTTTTCGTTTTTTTTTTAATGTTTCATAGTGAATTTTTTAGAACGTATAGGCACCATAATTATGTCTCAAAACCCGGAATTCCATTCCAAAAGAAGGGAGTATTTTATAGGGAAAGATTAGTAATTTAGACAAACATTTTTAAATACATAGAAAAAGGCTAATTATTAGTATTGACGAAATTCTCCGAATTCGTAAATTAGATCGATAAAAAAAAACATTTTAAATTAGGCAACATATGGCAACGAAAAATACCTGGATCAATAACGTCCAGGTGGTAATTAGTATTCAAAACCCCAATCAATAAGGCTAATGGGATCGATAGTACCATTCTAATCCCGGAATATAGATTTATAGATCAAATCCTTATACTATTCTTTACAATTCTGATTAGGTTAAAATCCTGGGAGAGACATGGTTATTGTTGGTTTTCTGTATATAAGGGTCGCTATCGCTGTAGTATTATCCAGTCTTGTAAGATGTAGTCTTGTAGTAACCAGTCTTGTAGTACAACCTTGATGTTGTGTTTACTGTACAATAAACAAAAGAAGAATTGTCACAATTGTCGTTTGTCTGCTATCATCTATTGTCTGCTGGGGGCGAGCGCCTACATAACCGAACAACGAAGTGAAGAATAATTTGTACAAGTCTAGAAGACAAGAGCCCGTGCTCCGACTAAAGAGCTACCAAAGATCTCGTACGCCGGCTAAAGTTATATTTAGGACCACTATCCTAAAATGTTATTTAACATTAAAGTATCTTGTAAAGTTATTTGTTCCTCCTCCTTTGAAAGCTGACAAGGCCCGATATCAGAACGTGTTTTCAGACGCCGCATTCCAAAGAGAAGCCGTAGGTCATTCATAGGGTGATGTATTATGGTAAAGTTTTACCGATTCGGCGAAACGAGAGAAACAGACCAGGTGTTTTTAGCACTTTTATTTCACCATTTTTTCTGTGCCTTCATCAACACTAAATTGTTGTTGGACTGGGTATGCTTATACCAAGTCAAGCATGATCTGATTCTGACAGACTTCGCCACACAAAATCAAGAACTTGAGATTAATAAATGTGACAATGATTGGGCAGTTAAAGCACAAAATGAGAAATAATATTCCCTATACCAATGTATAATACGCACCCCCATATTTGTGAAATTAAATTTAACCATAAAAGTGCGTATTATACACAGAGAAATACGGTATATACTACTAAATATTGACCAAAAATAATTTTTTTCGGATGTGGCAGAGGATTATTTTAATGCTAATTGGCATATTAACTCCCCAAAGAGGTCGGGTTTGTTTTATCATTTTCTGAAAGGTACTTTTATACTCTATCCAACTGTAGTAAACTTATGCGTGGCAAGTCTTCAGAAAATAGTAATATATATATATATATACTACTAAATACTGACCGAAAATAAATCCTTTCGGACGTGGCAGTGAATTATTTCACAGCTAATTTGCATCTTAACTCCCAAAGAGGTCAAGTTTAGTTGATAATTTTCTGAAAGGTATTTTTATACTCCATCCAACTATGTTAAACTTATGCATGGCAAGTCTTAGAAAATAAAAATTTTTGTTTGTGAATTTCGGGAGCACGAAATGTAATATTGTTGGTAAATTTGAAACAGGAACCACCAATTCAACGATCCGTGATTATCCTTTTTATGTCTTCTATATTGTACTTGTTCCCATAATCTTTGACATTCACCTAATTGCAATGTACAGTTTTAAAAATAGTTATCATTGTCAATTTCCGTCGAAAATCCAAGTTTTTGCTCGGGATATTTACCGACATCTAGTGTTTACGTATATTTTGCGAATCCTCAGGTCTTCTG